GAGTGGCTTGGGTCGTGGGGATTCACCCGCCGCTGACGGGAGCGTCATGGACGCAGTCAACGCAGACATCTTCTGCTGCAGGCGCTCTTACAATTCATTTTCATTGGTTATATACGCCTCTAGGCGCGCGCCGATCGCTTCAGACCTTGCGAAGCGAGCTATTGCACGCCCTCAAAGCCAAGCAGAGACATCAGCTTTGAAGCCCACCCTGCATGCCCTGGGGCAAATAGGAGTAATGCATCATCCCCACGGAAGATCAGTCGTAACGCCTAAGGCGTAGATTGACTATGAGTAGGGTGTCGCGGGCTTCATAAAGAATACGGTATTTCAAATCCTCATCGTGAAAAACCACAATTCGTGGTGTATCCGTCGAATTGGTGCTTGAATACAGCAATCCATTCTTCAATGAATATCGGTGCAACTGTGCACGTAGTCGCGCCGACAAACTCTTTGTCCAAGTTTCCAGACTCCTTGCCCCCGAGAGCCTGTAGCAGCGCTACATATATGCTATCACCCGCGTACGCGGCGCGGATCGAATTCATCAAAATCGACGTCAAAGTCGTGACATGAGCAGGTTCATAATCCGGTCTGCGTGACAACGCATCAGCCAAAGCATTTTAATTTCCTGGCTTGCTTATACTTCACCTCGAATTTATATTCTGCAAGGAATGAGAGCCACCTGATTATCTTCTGCGAGAGGTGAGGCGACTGAGTCGCAGTGCGTAATGACGCATGATCTGTGTTGATCACAAACGGCTTTGAGACAAGCAGGTGCTCCCTGAACTCGACAAGTGTATTTTTTATCGCAATTAATTCCTTTTCGTGGACCGGGTAGTCTTTCTTTGCAGCCTTAAGCTGGCGAGATTCGAACGTGATCACCCGATCTCTTCCCTCGGCGTCTGCTTGCATCAGTGCACAGCCGATGACTAAGTTCGAAGCGTCACATACGACACTTAGAGGACGATCGGGCTCTGGCAACGCCAGTATTGGTGCATGAAGGAGGTTGTCTTTGACCCTGTTAAAAGCCTCCCGATGCTCGGTGTCCCAACACCAATCTGTATCCATACTAAGAAGATTAGACAATGGCCGCGCCATTTCCGCATAATTCGCGCTATACTTGTGAAAGTAGTTGGCGAGACGAAGCCACTTGCGCAAGTCCTTTTGTTTTTTTTGAAATGATCTTGACCTTAGCGAAATCCGCTCGAAGGCCACGTCCCAATGAAGCACCCTAGAAAGGGGATTCCTTCAGCGCCGAAGATGCAGTTATCTGCATTAGCATACAGCTTATTCGTGCGCATGCAATCAATCATCGCTCTCAAATGGACGATGTGGTTTTTCTTATCTGTCCTACCGTGCAGCGCACGACTGTGGACGAAGATGTCGTCAAAGTTGTATACGCCCGAAGGGGCCTGAACCACGGCGTCTTAAGACGAATATGCTGCCGGTGAATTTGACGGCCCTTGGGGCATCACCAGCCACAACCAGAGCATCCCGCTTGGAGTACTCACCGCTGTCAGCGGAATATCACACGCGCTCATGAGTAATCGATAACATCCCATTGCCCAAGTCGAGAGCGCTGTACTATGTACACCCAACTATATAGTCCTGGAGAACATCCTTCCTAGAATTCGGTGTCTGTACCGGTATAATGACAGCGTTTAGCTTATGAACGATACGCTACATGCCATTTGACTTTCGGACCCAAAACGTTGGTGTCCAATGGGGAGACTTGCGCTCACGCATCTTTCGTGTCTCGTTCTTTGTACGTAAAAAGGCGTCAGTGACGACACACTGCTCCTTGGGTAGGGGCTATTGGCAAGTTACGCAGTATTTGATTCAAGGAACCATGACGCATACCTAGGTCCGGAGGTAGTATCGACGGCGGGTCCTTGTAGACGACGTCTTCAATTTTTTTACCATAAAAAATTACGGATTCAAGGGACCCTTCAGGATCGACAATCCACTTCGTGCGCTCTGCATCTTCGCGGTTTCCTTCAGGACAGCTTCATCCAGAAGCGACGACGATTTGGTCTCCTCGTCCGGTTTATGAATGACCACTTTGGTCAAGTTGCCTCTCGCCAAACTCTGTGAAGGACATCTCTTCCGGCTCAAGAAGAGTATCCACCGCGGTATTGTCTACGGTAGACGCACCCCGGGTCAGAATCGACGCCCTGCGTCTTGCAATGATATACGGCGTCACCGTTGCCTCTCCACCGAGGCTCTATGTCTCGACGAGACCGGTGGGAGCACGCAC